CTTTAATTGTTCATGTCTCTGCTGGTTTTTAATATCCCAAAATACCACCAGATTCTTTCCACATTAAAATATAGTTTTCAAATCCTTACTAACCATGAAGAAAATATGGAGTCTTCAGGAAGCCTCAAGTAGATATGACACTGCCTTGGATCTTATGTGGATAGGCAGAGGGGGCAAAAATCACATAGCTTACCTGGCCATCTGGATAGTCAATCTAATAAAAGGTTTAGGAACTTTTGTTTAAAGAGAAAATTAGGAGAGAGAAATTCCCTGTGGAGTAATTAAAATAGACAAGGCACCATTTCAAAGAAGAATTTATTCATTAGTTTAACAATTATTTTTTGGGAACAAAGTTCTTGCATTCATGAAAGTTACATTCTAGTGGGAGGAAAATGACAAACTATTAAAAATGTACATATATGATATTTCTCATGGAGATAAGTGGTACTGAGAAAAATAAAACAGGATAAACAAGATAGGGAGGCAGTTGCTATCTTATGTTGGGTCTTAAAGAAGGAATCCCAGAGAAGAGACTAGATGACCAGCTCATTGGAGGAAGTAGGAGGTGAGTCACAGCACTATCAGGAACAGCAGGCCAACTAGAGGCGGCAGCAAGTGCAAATGCTCTGAGGCATTTAAGACATAATGACACTTTAGGGTATTTCAGAAACAATAAATCAGTGTGAGTGAAGCTGAATGAACAAGTCTTGAAACAATAGGAATGAATGTCAGTTTATGTAGGACCTTTCATGAATTAAATGAAAAAGTGCTGACAGATTTTGAGTGGAGAAATGAAATCATCTGACTTACATTTTTAAAGGAGCACTCATGGTGCTGTGTTAAGAATCGACTGTTGGGAGGAGAGTAAAGACACTAGAAGGAAATCCCTCTAGAAATCAGTTACCCAAACCTAAGCAAAAGCTGGTAGTTGCTTGACCGTGGTAAGAGTGCAAGGATTGGGAAGGGGCTGGATTCTGAACATGTTTTGAAGCTAAAAGGATTTGTTAGTGAATTGAGTAAATCATAGTAGGGAGAAATAAGTGCCAAGTACTTTGAGCACTTTGGGTGGAGAGATTTCGAAGGCCGCAACTTCTTTTGGTGAAACTGAGGGAAAAGCAATTTGGCAATGGTGGAGGTGGGACTGGTGAATCAGTAAAAGATAGTAAGAGGGAGCAGCAATCAAGACAGAATGATAGTCCAGGTGCCAAGTGAGGAAAAGAATTCAAACAGAAGAATATAAACTGCTAAGAAAGGTGTAGAATTGGAGGCCAGCCCCGGGGCCGAGTGGTTAAAGTTCTGTGTGCTCCGCTTCAGCGGCCTGGGTTGGCAGGTTCGGATCCCAGGCCCGGACTTACCCCGCTCATCAGCATGAGTGTGGAGGCATCCTACATACAAAGTGGAGGAGGACTGGCACAGATGTTAGCTCATGGTTAATCTTCCTCAAGCAAAAAAAGAGGAAGATTGGCCGGGCTAATTTTCTTCACCAAAAAAAAAAAAAGGTGTAGAATAACGCACGACCATTTCACGTAGCAAAACAAAATCTCTGATCATCTTAATTGTAGTAAGGATGAAAGTCTCTTCATAAGAGGCGTCAATACAAGAATTGACTTTCTTTTCTTGGGTGCCTTTTCACAGACACTTCAGTGCTATAGCTTTGTCACATCAAGGTCACTAACCTCAGAGAGGGGTCTTTGCTGTTACTGGCTTGAGCTGATTCTTTTTCTTGATCTATGTGGATTCCATCAGATCACAAAAGGTCTCCCAGAGTCTGAGTGAGTGGTGAGCATGATTCCTTCTATTTTCTATTTTTTCTGGTGAACTAGGCCTAGCATTTTGATATCATAGGAATCTAATGGATCTGATTGAATTTAATAAAGCCGTATATGGCATTACTGTGTGGGTACTCGTTACAACTGCCAGCACTCACTAACCTGTCCATTATTGTTTAAGCCATACACACCATCTGAACTGAACTCCTGGTTTTATGCTACTTCTACTATAGTTTCCCCATTTTCATCTGATCGCAAATACCTGAAGTCATCCTTGAATCCTCTCTTTCTCCTATATGCCAAATCCAACTCATCAGCAAATCCTCTTTCCTTGACCTTTAAATTATATGCAAATCCAATGACTTCCAACTACTTCCACTGCTACTATCCTGGCCTGAGCCACCATCAATTCTTGTCTAGATTACTGCAGTAGCTTCCTAATCACCTTTGTGTTCCTATGATTGTTCCCCACCTACTGCTATTATCCAGAGAGTAGCCAAAGGAATCTTTTAAAATGTAAATCTGATGATGTCTCTCCTCTGGTCTGAGTCCTGCAATGGTTACCAAGCTCCTTCAGCGTTCTACAAGGACTTAAATTATTGGTCCTCCCTGCCCTCCTTATTTCTATAACCTGATCCTGTACTACTTTCTCCTTCACTCACTGTGTTCTGGCCAATTGCCCTCCTTGTTCTTTCTTGGGGAGTTTATGCACAAAACCACATTGAAATTTTGCATTGACTGTACCATCCAACTGGTAAACTTTTCCCCTTGCTATCCTCATAACTCGGCACCCTCAAGGCATTACTCATACCACCTTCCCGAGCACGCCTATCCTAAGCACCTATTTAAATTGACAGTTCTTCTACCACAGGGAGTCCCAATGCTTCCTTCTCTGCTCTATTTTTCTATTGTGCATAGTAATCATTGTAACATACTACATAACTTACATATTTATTTTACTTTTTAAAATTTCTGTATCCCCTTGGTAGAATGTAAGCTCCATGAGAGAAAAAAAATCTTTGTCATCTTTGTTCCATGAAAAATGAAAAGTGCCTACATCCCTTTGGCACATATTAGGGGCTTAGTAAATATTTATTTAATGAATTGAATTAACCATTTAATCTTCAAAACAATCTTATGATGTAGATATACTGTTATCACCATTTTACAGATGAGGAAACCTAAGCACAAAGAGCTTAAAAATGTCCAAATTAATACAGCTAATAAGTGACTGAGCTTGGATTTGAATGTAAAAAGCCTACTTCTAGAATCAACAATTGAGTAAGCACTCAAGTTGGATTCTTAAGAACTATACTCCCTACCTCCCACTGCATGTTAATATTATGGAATAATATTTATTTTGAAATTAAAAAGAATAAGATAGCTTCATATGTACAGATATAAAGAGAGATCCCTGTCATGTTATTAAGTAAAAAAAAGAAAAAAAAAACAATTTAAGCAACAAATTCTCTAGTACATCATTTGTGAAAATTCTTGTATGTTTATACATATTCACAAATACATATTTGTGGTCCAACTTTGTCCATCCCTTTATTTATGAATTATATATGTGTAGAAAATTATCCAAAAAGTAGGATATAATATTGGGAAAGGGAATTTTTAGAGTAACCTTTATATTCTTAGATATTTTCAAACTAGCAGTTGTTACATGGTCATTTAAATAATTGAAAAATAACCACTATAACAACAGAATCCCCATAAATACTAAACATAAATCCATAGAAAGGTCAATTCTCCTTCTCTTCAATGAGGTTCATAACATATTTGTCTACTTCAAAACAGATCCATTCCTCAGGATGATAATTGGGTCCTCTATGGGAGGATGCTGCAGAAATCTTTACTCCTCCTTATGAATATCATTACATTTCACTTTCAAAATGCTTTCTACAACAGTATCCCAAAAGGCCTATGGAAGATGCTGACAATGTTTCCTTCTTTCAAATGTGATCTCGGTTGAGTACTTCCACACTTAATACCCTCATTTCTCTAAGTATAGCCTTCCAAACACATGGCATACTCCCAACAGTAGTAGCAGTGCTCTCCAATAGAGGATGGCCAGGGCAGGGTGTATTTGAATTCTTTACAGGTCAAATTCTTTGGTAAATCCTTGAGGGTACACCTTCCTTATTGACAATAGCTGTTCTAGTTCGTTAAGTAAGTTAAGTAAATTAACAATTTCCTATTTACCCATCTATTCATCTTCAAATTTAGGACTAAATATGTTTTTACATAAATTATAATATAAAACGTTGTCTTTACAATTCTTGGTTGAACTAGCCTGTCATATACATAGTAACTGATTTGTGGCCTTCGGATACCTTTGTGAAATTCGAATACATTCTTTTGTTTTAATCTTTAGAAATGGCAAACAAAGAAAAATTCAATCTTTTTATTTTCTTTTCTGAAATGAATCAATAATATTTTCCTAGTGCTAATTCTTAAGTTCCTATTCATATTTGTTAATATATATCCATATTTTTATCAATATAGCTTTGCATCAATTTAATTACTTTATATATACAATCAATTTAATTGCATAATTTTTATCACAGTGTACATTTTTAAAAATCATATGAAATAAGTAGTAAATTGAAAGCAGTGGACTGACTGAAGGGATCAAATGTGTTATTCCCAGTCTATTATTGACAGTGCTTAGTATAGACAGGCATGCGGAAGAGTGAGCTTATGCTATATGTGCATGCTACATAGGGAATAGGAAAGAGAAGGAGATAAATACAGTCTGATTGGATCAAACGAAACATAAAGATCGTATAAAAGTTGAAGTAACACAGGAGTTCTGGACTGTCATGCTATACTACATTTTGGTTTAATGTCCCAAACACTTTAAATTCCATTTTTAAATTTATATTTACTCATTTTCTTGTTGAAAACAAACTAATTTTTTGCTCTCATTTAACGTCATCAGCTTGCTTAAATTGGCCAGCTAAGAGCATTTCAGGGCCAAAGTCATTAAAACATTTCTAAACAAGAGGTAATTTCCCATAAAGTCTCCAAGGTGTTGGATTTCAAACCAATACATATATTATGGCAATTAGGACTCTCTGATTTTCATTTATGCATATCCCAGTCAGCGTATGATCACAGCTGGAAAAATGAGCTTGAGTAATGAAACTAATGAGATGCCAAAGCAATAGTTCTTCTTAGAATGGAGGCCATTAGTCTAATTGCCACAGATGGATGATAATCAGGTCTCACAGCCCTGGTACTTGGAGTTGTGTTTGAAACCCCAAATGTGAATAGAACATTCCCTTATATTCTTTGAGTGGCCACCAGAGTGGACCAAGAAAATATTTTCACGCTAAAAAGTGGTAAATTTACAATTTCCTGAGGGAATGTTCTGGGGATTTGGAGTCTCAAAGCAATCCCTCAAACATTTAGTTTGTTAATGTCAGCATGCAGGATGTGGTGGGTGGAGATGTTTACCCAAATTCTTCACCTGTAAAATGGATTTTATCATAGTCATCATCATTATCAATATCATCATTCTCATTATCAACATCGTCATCATCACTGTTACTATTATCCCTATCTAATAGTGTTGGATTTATTGATATGATTGATACAAAGCATTTAGCATATCCCCTGGTAGCTAGTAATCACATACCAGTACTCTTAATGGATTCTTAAGTGAAAGTTGCATAATCTTCTCAAGACTCAGATTCCCCCTTTGTAAAATAGTGATTATAATTCCTGTGTTTAGATTTTCAACAGAATTAAATTTGAATAATGTCTGTACAGTACTTAAAAAATTACTTGGCAAATAGTACAAACTATAAAATTGAGTCCAAGTTCAGCAATTTAAAAATATTCTCATAAAGTGGGTGGTGAAGCCTATGTAGAATTAGCTTTTAAGGAACATTCATTCTCTGAGACTAAAAGTTGGTGGATATATGTTCTTGTTTCCCACATTTCACCAAATCCTACTCCATAAGCCCGTTAGAGAAAAATATTATTATCTATTTTTATAAGAAACATCTCCTCAAAACAGTAATTCTCAGACATTTTTTAAAAAAATCCAATGAAGGAAGAATCCAATTTTAAATATGATAATTTTAATTATGATATTTTAATATCATAATTTTAAATATGATACATTTCCATGCAGTTTAAATCTTTAATCCACAACTCCGATTCTTCTTAGTTCTTTCCCATGTTAACACTGAACTTTGCTTTAAGAGGACTGGTTTTTCATCTCAGAGAGGGAGAGTGGAAAAAGCAAGGACTTTGGAGACAGATGAGCCATGTTTATAGTACTAACCCTGCTATGTACAGGTGTCAAACATGGGCAAGTCATGTACTTCTCAGTTTCCTCATCTATAAAATGTAGATAAAAGTACCAATACTGTAAGGTTCTATAAAGGTTACACATAATACATACAAAATGTTGGTACTAATAGTACCAATTAAATTATAGCACTCATAACTCTATTATAATTTTATGTTAAAATGCACCTCATTCTCCACTTGTTACTCAGTTTTTTGGTAGATAAAATTCCTTAGGAGGAATTATTGAGGCACTTCCTTCATAGAGTGTTTTCAAGGTAAATTCACCAGGTTGTTTCAGCTTCACTCAGTTCTCTTTGTCTTACATTCTCCCTCCAGAATGGGAGAATATGAGAAACAAAAGATAATCAGTGACTTTACGTAGGCTGGAACTTTGACCTTGACATTAGAATCTTGAAGGAGAATTTCTTAAAATTTCTGTCTCCTAAACTGAATATAGAAAATAATCTACTTTCTAAAAACATATGATGTAAGCCTCAGTATCTAGAATGTTCTGAATTCCAGAAACAATGATGAATGTTTACTTCTCAGAAAGATCTGAACTCCCTTTACCCCCAGGCTTTCCTTTCTGCTAGTTTACCTAGTCCTTGGAATATCTTCTGTCTCCACCAACCCCACTACCTTCTAGACAAGACATCCTCTTCCTTCAGGTCTAGGTTCAACTCAGGAAAATGCTTCCTCGTTTTCTTGATGTGGAAAAATCACTTTTATTTTATCTCAAGTCTCTCTTGCGTGATAAAGATCACAGATGTAATTATTTTTTTCACGTTTATCTCCCTCATGATATGTCCATGAGAACCAGGAAGACTATGTGTGTTGTTCCCTTTGTAACACCAGCACAGGGACGGCACCGCATGCACTCCATTTTATGATTATTTGATGAGTCAACAAAGGCAGCAATGGAGAAAGGTACGCTAGGAATGCCAATGATGTAGCTATTTCTTAGATGTCACCTGATTCTTTCATTTATCTGTAATTGTGACAGTTACATTGATAGTTATTTTTCTGTTTTCTTAAAATGAAATAACATAATAAGAAGCAGCTTAAAATACTACTCTAATAAAAATTACTTCAACTGAAATATAATTGAGTGAAAGTAAAATAAAATTGACTTGTATAGGTCATAGAATTTTAGTTTTACTTCAAAAGGTCAATTTCTTAATCTCTTTGGAAATTTGATTATTATTTTTATTAAAAGAAGTAAAGAACAAAGGTCATTTTAATTACTTTTAATTCTTGTTATATCTCCAGCTCAGCCATCCACTGTGTGTTATGGGGCAACTTACTTAATCTCTCTGTGAACCAGCCATTGCCTGCAAAATGGAGGAAAATTACAACCTACCTCACAGAGTTTTTGAAAGGTTAAAATGAGTCAATATATGTAAAGTACTTAGAATATTATTGTTGCAGTTAAAAAAACCTGAACAGTATTTGACACCATATCGCTTCAATTTCTTAGAGATGATACTTGTACTATCAAGGAACCTATGTATCTTGTTATTTCACCTGTCTATTTAGTAAAAATACGTATTAAATGAGTTAGCATTCACCTTTTAATAACTAATTGGCTCATGATAGTTTCAACATTATGTATATCCAATTTGTTTGAAATTAGGAAAACTTAAAACACAGCAGAAGTTTTGTCCTTTGTCTATTGTAGATAAAATTATATGAAATAGTCTGGTTGCTTGTATTGGCTGGCACAACATATACTAAACCTGATTCCTTATAGTGGGAATAAGTTAGGCCCTCAATGAGCTTTCAGTAACGGTTCGATTTACCAAATAGCAACCTAATAGATGGAAAACCTCCTCCCATGGTGTCTGAAAATCACAGTGGATTGTGGAAGATTCTGAAACAACAGCTGTACCAGTCGGCAGGACATACTCAAAATGTTAATTAAAGACAGTCTAATGAAAGTTTAATGTAAAGTCTATTTACAAAGATAGAGGTAGGACTGAATGATCCAACAAGAAGTGGTGGAGTATCCTGGCACCGGAAAATGTTGGATATTTGTACTACCTGTCCACCCAACGGAGCAATATGAGATAGGATAATGAGTGCAAACTGGCATCTGGTGAGAGTGGCAACTATGGGAGTTTGATCTCAAAGCAGAGGAAAGCAACCAGAACCACGGTAAAAACTGCAATCTGGGAATGACAGAGAGGATCCAATCTCTCTGCCTCTCTCCCCCTTTCACTCTCTCCCTCTCTCTTTCTCTCTCTGTCTCTCCAGCTCACCAGTTCTCTACTGTTGCTTCTGTTGGCCAAATCGAAACTGAGGATGGTGGAGTTGGGAGATGGAAGATGATGCAGCTCATGGAAGTCAACCCCCTGCAGCCCAGAGCAAAGTGTAGAAGGAAGCCTGGAGAAAGCATCTGATGGGAAAATGGAGATCAGTCAGGCCAACAGCCTTCCAGACAATTTTGTAATTTTAAGGTACCCTTATCTTGTATTAAGCGAATTCAGTTATTTTCCTACTTACAATGAAATTTGTATTATCAATCAAATTGAACAGAAAGAAGACATATCTACATGTATATGTCACTTAATTTTTATGGCTCACCTTTTCTGACTAAATATAACACAAGAATGATTTTATTGCCTGGAAGGCTAAGAATACTTGCAAATGAAATTCAATTTTTTCCGACTCACACCAAGATTTTAAACATACTTGCTATATTACCCTGGCAGGCCACTATCTTAGAGTATTATGTTTCCCTTAAAAGTAAAAAGACATTTACTTCCCAGGTCTTTTGGTATTAATATAGTAGTATTTATTACAGAAGCTTATGTTATAATTATGTATAGTATTGCTCTTTATTGTTCATGCCTACAAATGTTTGCCTTATTGATTGAGGCTCAAGACTATCAATGTTTGGGTCTAGAACAGATTAGGAGGCAAGTAGCCAATACTTATATATTTTCGTGGTTATCTTGCACAATTCTAATAGTACTATAAGATCATCTAATTCACATGATTTTTCTTTGAGATTCCATGGCAGAGCCAATTTAAGATCATAAAAACATAGAATTCAAATTAAGAGAATATTGTTAACTAATAAATTAATGATTTATCATATAATATATATAACGTATATATTCAATCTGAATTTTTTTTCCTTAAGAAAAGAGATAATAGCCTAAGCTTCTTTTATATGGTTGTGGTGAACGCCAAAGAGTAGCTACTTAGGTCTCCAGTTCTCAAACTTCTTGGTCTCAAGACCATTTATACTCCTAAAAATATTGAAGACCCTAAAGTGTGTTTGTTTCTATAGGTTAAATATATCAATATTTTTTGCGTTAGAAATTAAAACTGAGAAAAATTTAAAATATTTATTTAATTATTTTAAAATGATAATAGACTTACATATTAATATATTCATGAGAACAGTGGCATTCTTTTACAAATCTCTTTAATATCTGGCTTGATGAAAGGCACCTGAACTCTCCTGTGTACTTCTCCATTCAGTCTGTTGCAATATACTCTTTTGGTTGAAGTGTATAAAGAAAGTCTGTCCTCATACAGATAATACAGTTGGAAAATGCAGAACCTTGTAGACTCACTGAAAGGGTCTTGAGGACCCCCAAAGGCTCCTGGGACCACATTTTGAGCTTTAGGCCATTTCTTTCAATAGAAAGATTTAATGGAGAACAATGGACTGATTCCCCTGAACCCTACGCCCTGGCAACTGGTTCAGAAAGAACAGTGTTCTAAGAAATGTCTATACATTGTATCACTTAGTAATCACACCAGCCTATAAATAAGATGGGCATGATAATGCCCAGATTTAGGGGCTAAACTGGAGACAATCAGAGGAACGCTTCTAAAACCACAATTAATATGAGGAGAAACAGGGATTTGAATCATGTCTATTTGATTTCAAAGGTCAACTTCTTTCCACTTTATCATCCTAAG